AAAAAATATATATATATATTCCTAATACTCATAAGCCTAAACTAGGGAAAGAGACCTGAGTCACAAATGAATATAGTTAAAGCTATGTTTGTGTTTAATGCCAATTTTAAGATTTTGTAATATCTGTAATTTAAAAATAATCAAACAAAAACAAATAATGCATTTTTCAAATTATTCTAACAGTTTGGAATTGACATGGCACTCTGCAATCTGTTTCAGTAAAATTTCTGAGCAATTTCTCCTTGAGTTCTTCAACAATTAAAACATGCTTATCTGAAAAATGCCACATTTTTATGGCTAAAAAAATTAGTTTGATTCCCTACCTATAATAAATTGTTCTTAAGATAATGCTTCTGCTTTCTCTTTAAAAGCAGATGTCTTCCTATATTTGACACTGACAATTACACGGGAGATTAGCACACGTGTAAGTCAAATCCAAAACTCCAGTCTCACTAGTAGGTCAAAAGTTTGGTATCCATGTGTAACAGAGTCTTAAACTTTTATTTCACGGACCAGATGTATCATATTTCTTTTGTTCTACCTTCTGATAAGAGAACTAATTGTACTCTTGCTCTGACTGTCTGGAGAAGCTAAGCACTGTTTGAAAATTTGCACATATTTTGTGTTCACGATCAACATTTGCAGATGACCTTCAACACTGCCCCTAAATCTCAGCGATTTTCTGTAAATTGTTTAGTCTGCTGCTGTGTTAAAAGTTCTTAGAGGCTTCTTTGCTATCAATCACATGACCTCAATATACACCACTGAAAAACACTTGATAAATTATCAAATTCATCCTTTCACCAATCAAGTTCAAATCAACCTACTTCTCTGTTCTTTCCCATTCCATTTCGTTTCGATAGTGTTTTTATACTGTAACCCTCCTGCTAAGAACGGCTCGTCCTTAACTATTAATTTGTATTCTCCCAAGTTTTTCAATCAATATTACTAAATACAAATAATTTTAGTCATTACATTTATTTAATTTATTGTAATAGTCAATATTAATAAATTTTTCTTTTAGAAACATCTATTTTCTGTAATTATTATTTGAGGTTTATGTGAAAGGCTTAATGCAAATACATCTAAATAAGACAAAACTGTTCTTCTAAATTTAACACTTAACAAGTAGAAAAAACTGCTAATTTTCATATAGATCATTCAGTAACAGTCTTATCACATAAATTAGAAAATTCACATTTCTTTTTTCTATAACTTACCTAAGGCTATTGTTACTTGATACCTATCCATTAATGTTTATGTTTATTTTTTAATTCAAGCAAGTTTTTCGTATTGAGTGAATGCATTAGAACAGAGAAATAATGAAAAAAAAAGTATTCAGCCTAATTTACCATTAAATCCTGCACTCTAGAACCAACCTTTTTAATCTCCATTTCTCTCTGTTTCTGGATCTCTTTGACTATTTCTGTCTCTGTTTCTTCTCTCTCCTTCCCTCTCTCCTTTTTCCTCCCTCCTTTTCCCTCCCTCCCTCCCTCCTAGATATTAAATCAGCTGTCTTCACAATTGATGTATGATCCCAGCAATTTTTGGAGACAGGGTCTCGCTAAGTGGTCCGAGCTAGAATTAAGCTTTTGATCCTTTTGCCTCAACCTTACAGACTGCTGGGTTTATAGCCATGGGCCATGCCCAAGATAATAGCTAATTTTCTAATTCATAAAAAAAATAGTTTTAATGAACTTTTAAAAAATCGTATAGAATGCTAGATAATATCTGTACTTAGTGATTAATAATATTTAAGTAATAACTGTTTACTGTCTCATACAGTATGCTTTATAGCATCCTCTCTCTGTATTTTATATGTACCTATTTTCGCATTCTATCTTTACCTTTTTAACTTTGACATGTACTTAAATGTCTCATTCTCATAAATCTTCAAAACACTTTATCTTCCTACTTTATGAAATGAAAACGTTTTTTCTGACTTTTTCCTTTTTCTAAACTACTTCTATCTTCTTTCATCTTCTTTTTTTATTTTGTCATTTTCTTCAACTGACACAACCAAATCTTCTTTACTTCTCTATAAACTTTAAAAGCTAAGTCAATGAATATTTACAAATTATTACTATGTAATCATCATTCATATTATATTGTTCCAGGTTGAAAGTCACCTTCTAGATATATATGTTATACTGGATGTGTTTTTCTTCTTAATTTAAACTTGGAATTGAGAATAACATAAAATAAAATTAGTAACACCTATAAGTGTATTTGTGATACAACTCGAATGTTGTGTCTCTTGAAACTGCAGTAGAAAATAATGAGATTCCAATCTGCCCTAGGAAAGATGGCCATAATCAAGAAATCAAATAGTAAATGCTAGTGAGGCTGTGAGGAAAAGGAACCCTTCTACTTTTTTGGTGGAAGCATAGATTACTACAATCATTAGGGAAATCAGTATGGAGAGTTCTCAAAAAAATTAAAATAGATATTCTATTCAATTCTGCCATTTCTCTTCTAGGTATCTTCCTAAAAGACATAAACATATTACATTCTAGTGAAACATGAATACTTACATTCATAGCAGCACAATTCATTATAGCTAAATCTTTTAAGCATCCTATATGTCCATTAACAGATGAGTGAATAAAGAAAATGTATTTACACACAATGGAGTACTCCTCTGCCATAAATAAGGGTAAATTTGAGACATTCATAGGAAAACTATATACCTTGAGACCATAACGTTCAATGAAATAAACTGGGCAAACAAGTTTAAATAGGGCACAGTTTCTCTCACAAAATATACATAACAAAATAAATGATAGGTAAAAGAAGTAGGGCGATAGATCTTTCTCAGATGGGATGAAGATCAAGACTTGGAGACAGGGAAATAAAGGGATAAAGAGGGATGGAAACAGAATGAAGATGTGTTATTTACATATACCACCTCCTCATTAGGTATGGGTGTGATTATGAAAGCTTGTGGAAATAGTATGAACTTGTGATGAATCCAAATTGAACTGGAGTAATCTAAATTATTTGAGAAGAGTGAATAATGAAAATATTTTAAAGATAATGAAAAGAAAGAAGATAATAGGAAAAAAGAGTAGAGTGTAGTGCCAAGGAAGCAAAAGGAAATCAGTGTTTTAGTAAGAAGGGGCATGGACTCTCCTTGGAGGTAGGGAGCTGTATGCATGTGTACGTCCCATAACTTGTTTTTGATATCCTGTAAAGAAAGCTGTATCATTGGTGAAAATACTTAAAGAGGTTACAGGCACCACTAGTAAAGCAAACACTTGGATATGTTTCAGAACAAATAAGAGGATGTGAGTGAAAAGAGTAAAAGACAGGAAAAGCTAATACCTAAACTGCAATTTAAAGTATAAGCAGGAGTTGAACACCAGTGTACCCAGCAGAAGCCTGAAGAACTCCAGAAGTAAAAATTAGCACTAAAAGAAATGGAACTGAGCAAAGGGGAATTTAAAGGCAACTATTACAATAACATGTCAGTTTCCCTTTCCTACCTTCATTACAAAGGAAAAAAAAAGGGTGG